CAAAATTCTTTGTCCCCATAGATCAATGGTTGTATGGCTTTCTTTTTGAAAACTTGAGGTTGCTGGGTTCCATAATGCTATTGGTAGTATTCTTCCAAGATAAATGCTATTACAATAAATTTCCATACAAGAAATTGGCTCAGATAAAAAATGTACCTTGATCCTGCAATTCAAAGTGCCTTCCTCTGATATACTTTTTTTTTCCCAGCATCACTTAAAGATGGTCTTACTCAATAGACAAACTCACTTAGATTTGTATTATAATCTCCAGTATGGTTATCACCAGGGAATAAAGATCAATATTATTATGAACTGGAACTTGCACTTTTTATGTTCTCTCACATTTTTCCAACAGCAAATGGCTCATCCAAATGTCTCAGACAATGCAATACAGCTTTAACCTTGAGCTCACCATATCTGAGGCAGTTGCTCTCATTGAATTTTAAGTAAGTACAGAATCTGTATTTATGTGTAAATTTACAAGTGCAAATTGTTGTCTCTCTAAAATGACAAGCAGCATTTGTTCAAGAAAAATCTGTTAGATTTCAGGCAACAAACAACCAGAAAAGAACTACACTTTTCAGTTAATTACTAACAAATTTTTATTCAGTTCAGCGAGGTCAGGATTCAATTCCAGACACAAGTATATGATCTTTCATAAAGTTCAAAGCTGACCATTTAAACTTCTGGTTCTTCCTAAGTATTCCTATGCAGACATTATCAAAGGTGTCTGAGTTTCAAATTATAAAAAGGCTTTTTCTTTTTAAACATCAAAGTCTCTTGTTTTGCATGTGGTAACACCTATGAGATATATGCAGAAATGCAGAGCTGAAGCTAAAAATTAGTGGTTGCCTTTAGGGGGAATGATCATAACTCAATTTTATATATTCCTTACATTAAAAATGCAGTGCCAGCACGCAAACCCCAAGTTTGAATCCTCTAAAAAGACAACTAAGCTTAAAGCAATGATTATTCTAATGATTTGAAACACTTTTAAACTAAAAAAATGTAAAAGTAAAAAATTAAAAGTACTGTGCTGGTTTAGGCTGGCATAATTTTCCTCACAGTAGCTAGTGTGGGCCTGTGTTCTGGGTTTGTGCTGGAAACAGTGTTGGTAACACAGATATTTTTGTTATTGCTGGGTGGGGTTTGCACTGAGCCAAGCCCTTTTCTGCTTCTCACCCCACCAATGAGAAGGCTGGGGGTGCACAAGGATTTGGGAGGGGACACAGCCAGGACAGCTGACCACAGCTGACCTAAGGGACACTCCAGGCCGTGTCACTTCATGCTCTGCATGTAAAGCTGGGGGAGAGGAAGGAAAGTGAGAATGTTCAGAATGATGGTGTTTGTCGTCTCAAGTCACTGCTGTGATGCAGCTCTGCTCCCTTGGGCATGGCTGAACACCTGCCCAGCCATGGGAAGAGTGAATGCATTCCCTGTTTTGCTCTACTTGTGTGTACAGCTTTCGCTCTCCCTATTACAATGTCTGTATCTCAACCCATGTCTTGTCTCCCTTTTAGTCTCCCAATTCTCTCTTCCCATCCCACTTCATTGCTGGCTGGGGTTAAACCACAAGAGTCCTAATGAAATCTAGAAATTCTCTTGAAAGATACTTTATTCAATACCAAAACCCGTTATTCTCTAAAGAAATGTCAGCACTCATTTAAGGCAGAGGTGGTGAATGCTTTAGCATTTTTCATGGTGAATGTGCTTTTAAATAAAGTATGGAAGCAAAATGTCTGAATAGACACTTAAAAAGCAAGCAGAGGTTAGATCTGGAAAATTAAAAGCAAATCAATGGCCACTGCAAATAAGGAAACAATAGCTCTCCTTAAGTCCTATTTTTAAATAATAACAAAAACCCTTGGCATTTAATTATGTGAATGTTTGACTTCCATAGCTCAGCTGGAGGAAATATCAGTGTAGCTCACTGCACACTGCCTGCTAATGATAGAAAATACATTTTTATTCAGTACCTAGCTTCTCTGCCACTACAGGGCACAAACGTTCCCTTGACCTTTAAGCACTGGCTGCACAGGAGACAGTATCCCCTGCAGGTGCCAGGGGATATCACACCCACAACTTTCAGAGGGAATTTCAAAGAGCTGGAGATTTTCCTGTAATTTTGTAACATTTTGATGACTTTTCTCTGAATTTCTCAGCACAATGGAACGACCCTATGAAATCAAACTGTTGGGTCAAGTATTGTACTATACATGCATGATACGCCTGAAGCAGCATGACCACATCAATGACAGCATTGCTTTGATAACAGATATTTGAAATGCAGACAGAGAAACTGCAAATGGCAGTCTAGAAAATGTATGAATTTCTGCTTTGTATTTGGAACACTCTTGGAGGATATATCTGTAGTGAAAGGATAGCTGTGAAGAATGATATTATAGACAGATGGATCCACCCTGTATGCTTTTTAATTAAAAAAAATAAAAAAGCTGTTTTAATATGAGGTATTTAATATGAGGAACAGTGATATTCCTTA